GGTACTAAACCTCTAAAAAAATATTGTTTTAACATGCTAAATATGCCCGGTTTGGTTTCACTTGGTAAATATATCATCCTCCATAACATTTCTTTCTTTCATTATTGTTTTACCATCTTTGTTTACTTTCCTCAATTATCGTTTATTACTTCACCCAAGTGAACATTACTAAACCCTAAACCTAAACCCTAAACCCTAAACCGTAAACCTAAACCCTAATCCCTAAATCTAAACCTTAAACCCTAAACCCTAAACCCTAAACCCTAAACTTAAACCCTAAACCCTAAACCCTAAACTTAAACCCTAAACCCTAAACCCTATTGTGTCGATCTTGAATTTACATCTTGAAGTATTAACCGTCAATCCATTAACCGTAATCTTTTTATAGGAAAACAATGTATTTTCAAGAGGTTTAGTACCTAAGCTTAGGTAGGGCTGTAATGTATATTCCCTTTTCCCTATATATATAACAAAAAAAACTAATCTTCGTTCATGTTAAGTTGGTACAAATGCTCCACAACATCTTCTCGAAGATTGAAACACGTTTCACTGTTATGAATTTCAACAACTTGTGCTAAAAATTCAGTCGTTCCGGGTACGCACTCTTCAATCGGGATGACAACATCGTCCGGATCATATGTGCAAATCGTTTGGTCTTGATTTTCAATAATCATATTATGGATTATAATAATACATGCTTGGGCCATTCGTTTAATTCTATCTTTCTCCTAGAGTTGTGTAGTGTATTTCACTACATGTTATTTCTGCTTGAAAACTCCAAATGCCCTCCTGGTATCCTTTCTCACTAATTCCTGCCTTTTTGTGAACAAATTTTCATTTTCAAGTTGAGGAACTGAGTATGCTTTCATCACTGTAGAATAATCATGTTGTATTACATCACAAAGGTAGTAACCATATTTGTACGAGTGCTTGTTCACTATAAATGACATATCAGGTGCTTTGTCGGTCCAAACGTCGTTGAAAAAAGGAGTCTGACCAAGAACATTAATGTTGTTGTTAGACCCCGCAACTCCGAAGAATGAATGCCTTATCCACAGATCTTGAGATGCAATCGCTGCTAGTATTATACCTGGTTCACTTATATCACATCGATTAAATTGACTGGGTAATGCAGTTGGACATTTTTCCCAAGCCACATGCATACAATCTAGACTACCAAGCATACCCAAAAATCTATGTCTTTCTTCATGAGCCAAATATAATCTCTCAATATCACATAGAGTAGGTTTACACAAATATTCTTTATGAAAAACCTAATACACATATGCACAAAACCAATATATACAATCAATTATGGTCCTCTCGAACACTTTCAAGTACTCATCAGCCGCATCAAAGGTTATACCGTATCCCAAATACCTAAATGCAACTACACATTTTTGTATACTACTAAAACCCATTTTTCCTCTAGCATCGGTTTTTTCTTTGAAAAAATCATAATGGACATCCAAAGTATTACTAATACGTAAAAATATAATCTTATTTAGATGGGAGCGACGTTCGAACGAGTCATCAATTGTAAAGACAATTATCGGCAAAATAATCACGTACCAATAAGTCGTGTGCGACTTGATGATCTCGATTGGCGACTGCTCTTGAACGCGAAACATTCAAACTTTCTTCATCATGAATGTGTTGCACAACGTTGAAGAATCGAATCGAAATTCTTAAAGAAATTCATGTATATTTGTTCTTATAGATAGAGAGTATATAGGATGGATTAAGTGTATAGGTTGTTAAATTGTTGTGTCTATATATAGGTAATGTTTTTATATTGAAAAACATATTATCAAAATTATGACCCTTGAACGATCAAGCAAGCCAATTGATCATTTAGGTTCGTCGTCGACAACACGAATGAGTTCGACCACACCCAACCACGAATGGACAGGATAGTGTGGACACCGCATTTTCGTGGCCATGTAGACTACAATAGGCTCCGTTGAGAGTATACCAGACGATCTAATATTTTTGTTTGTTATTTAAGCATTGTTCAACCTGTTTTGAAAATCAATATATTCGATCTCGTATTTATAAGACATATTTTCTAGTCTTGAATATTTTGGAATGTAACCGATACTTTATAATTTTCTTTTAAATATAAATTTTTTATTTTGTAAAAAATAGCTCAAAAAAAAAAATATTCCTATTTTATTTAGAACGTAAGAAATATTTATCAACTCCGAAAAAATTTTATTGGAAATCATTCTCATTGATATTGTCATTTTAAACCAATGTCCCAGTAACAAACTTGGTTGAGGTTTTGCCTTTAGAATGGATGTCCTAAATTCTAATTCGGGCATTAACGAATTTACCAACTTAATAATAATAACTTCTAACTAGTAATCGGTCGGTAAAAAAATATTATCGCTTTAAGACAGGTTGTAAAGTCAAGTGGCCAAAGTGATAGTCTTGGAACTTAGAGGCTACTACATGAAATATGAGAAAAAAGAACAAATATTTCACTAATGTCATTACGTAATCACTTGCGCAATGGAATCCAATTGATGCTATTCAATTTTAGTTTTTCTTACAGTTAATTATTTGAGTATTTGTTTGAATTTTAAAATAAATGATTTTCATCTCATAAAAAACAATTGTCTATTCGACATATATACGTTTTCATAAAGTAATAAAAAATACGTTGATTTTGCATATTAAATTCAAAACAACTTAAATGAAAATTAAATCGTATTTACTAACTAAGTTTAAATTATAAGGAAAAAGTAAGGCACGGAGCTTTTGGAAGCGTTTGGGAGCTTCTAGCTTTTAGCTTTTGACAAAACGCTCTAGTTTAAACAAAAAGCTTCGTTTGGCAGTACGAGCGTTTAGCTTTTAGTTTTATCAAAACGCTCCGATTCTAAAAGCTACTTCATGTAGCTTTTAACAAAACGCTCCGGAGCTTTTGAAATCAATTTCCATAATTACCCTTAAAAATATATTTATATACTTTTTTATTTTTAATCGATTGTCCTTTTATGTAATTTTATATATTTCAAAAGCTTCCAGCTCCTTTTGCCAAACATTCATATAACAAATAAAAGCTACAGCTTCCCGCTACCAGCTACACGCTACCAGCTACCCGCTACCAGCTAACCGCTACCCGCTTCCAGCTTAAGCTACTTTTGCCAAACACGCCCATAATATGAATTTGTTATTTAATATCAACATTCATTTTTTAGGACCCGCTAACATACAATATTATTCTGATCATAACTTGAATTTTCAACATTTTTTCGAATGATACTTTTTCGTCAATTCTGATACAGCCATTTTTAATACTCATTTTACTTAGTAATATAAGAAATCATAACAAATACATCACATAATTATTTATAATAATATATAAAATACCAAAATCTCATTTTAATTGAGAATGTTGTATAAAAATTATTATATTTATTTTATCTGAAAAGTTTTTCCTTTTTAGAAAAATAATTTGTATTTATAAATTTTTTCTGAAAAAATATTCATACTACAATTTTTTTTTGAAACCTTTTTTTTTACCTGATGAAATTTGTTAACAATTTTTATAAGCTTACACGGACAAATATTAGGCATCTCACATGGACAATCCCAGGGGCAAACTTACTATGTTGCACGGGATAGCATAGGATACTCTCAAATTTTCCCGTTAAATGTAAATTTTGTCGTATAAATCCGTGACAAATCCATTGGAAATCTGTCACGAATTCGTTGACAATCCATCACAAAGTCTGATAATTGTAAATTTATAGTAAATTTGTCGGTGATTTTGTGACAGAAACTACTTTCATAAATGAGTTTTTTCTAATAGTACAACCCTTAAATCTATGTAACCAATTTTCTTTATCCACCACCAGACAAATATGAAAGTTTCAAAAACAAGATTCAAGAACCAATGTCATCAGGTTTGTTTTTTAGAACCTAAGTTTGTTATAATTTTTACTTAAAAGTGAAACAAAGCAAACAATCGTCACCAACATCAACACTACTAGATTAAACATGAGCAAAAATATTAGTTTTGACTTCATTTTCAAAAATTCTTTTTGGTGCAGCATCTTTAACTCCTTGTGCATGTCATAAATAAAAATCATTTTATGTAATATGCATTTCTTAATGTAGTCAAGATCGAGTATTCGAACACTAGGCCTCTAAGCTCACGAATTTAATTGATCCTGGTTATACTTACACTTTTACCTTTTATTTTTATTTATATTTACATAATGAAGCCAAGTTGAATCGAGATCGCCAAAATTGAGTTGGTTATATTTATTTGTAAGCAACATGCTAACCGATTTCATACCGTCAAGAACTATATTTCTTTTAAATGTTTTTATTATGAGTGGTTTTTCTAAAAACTTCAATAAACATGAATGACTTTTAAAAAAAAATAGTTGTAGCTTATTAGATAAAGTTAAAAATCTAATGGTTGTTCTGAAAACCTACCTTTTAAATTTTATTAAATTGCATATGGTTTTTTGAATATTGATCGAATATATATATATATATATATATATATATATATATATATATATATATATATATATATATATATATATATATATATATATATATATATATATTATATATATATATATATATAATGTAATAATTTTATAAAAGTGGGTAAGCATTACCATTGGAGTGCCTCTCAACCAGTCTTACCACCAAAATAAAAAGATATAAATCAGAATGTTTTCAGATTAAAAAAGACGATGTACAACCTAAAAACCCACATATGGATTGTCGCCTCATGACAAAAGGGTTTTTCCATATATTATATATATCTAAATAACATGTGAAAATAGTAGTAATTAAGTTTATAGGTCTTGTGTACTGATAAATTCACTATTGTGATTTGTTGATTTGTTGGCGACTTACTCACTTTAACCATACAAAATATATCAACTCTCACTTATTCAGTGTCTTTGTTTAATATACAAAACATCAAAGTGTTTTATGGAGAAAAACTGAAAGCTCAGGGGTCAAAGTTATAATATTTATCCTTCTCTCCTGAACTTCACTACATTCGGCACCTATAAAGAGCCCACTTCATTCTAGCTTCTGATATAACAATCTTTTAAATCGATATTTATTTAAATCATGGCCAATAAAGAACAAGTGGATGAAGGGAAGATCCCTCTTCTCACCCCCTACAAAATGAGTAAATTTGAGCTTTCTCATAGGTGTACTTTTCTCTTCTCTCATTTGTCTTTCTTTTTTGGGGTGCTTGCTTTTTTATAGTTTATGAACTGTGTTTCATTATATTGATTTTCCCTTAGAGTTTATGCAATTTATGTTCTTTTTTTAGGCTGAATCCATTATTTCTTTTGTGTATGTTACAGAGTTGTATTGGCACCTCTAACAAGGCAAAGATCATATGGGAATGTCCCTCAGCCACACGCAATCTTATATTACTCACAAAGAACAACAAAAGGAGGCCTTCTTATTTCAGAATCCACTGGAATTTCCGACACTGCCCAAGGGTATATAATAAATAAGACAATGAAAATCATTATTACTTGCTTCACAAACTTCAAACTTAAAAATTACCTGTTTGTCCATGATGTCATCATTATTACTTATTATGCCCATTGATTTTGCTTTAGAAGATTTCCTTATTTTATCATTCAAGACATTTATGTGCTCGATTAAAAATTGATTGTTGATGATGTGTTTGTTGTTGGTTAAGGTATGCAGAAGCACCAGGTATATGGACAAAGGAGCAAGTAGAGGCATGGAAACCAATTGTGGATGCTGTTCATGCAAAAGGAGGAATCTTTTTCTGTCAAATTTGGCATTGTGGAAGGGTTTCAAACACTGGTATACTATTCATCATCTCCCTTCGTGCAATTTACCATTCCTCGATATATTGATTTGCAATGGTTACTAAGTTGTCTTTTATGTCGACATGCTTTTAACCAACCTTTTAAATTCTTCATCTGTTGAGCAGATTTACAGCCAAATGGGCAAGCCCCAATTTCTTCCACAGACAAAAAACTATTTCCTCAACCACGAAGCAATGGCATTGATGTTGCACAATTTTCACCTCCAAGGAAGCTGACTATAGAGGAGATTCCGCTTGTTGTTAATGATTTCAAAGTTGCTGCAAGAAATGCAATTGAAGCTGGTAAGAATTATCGATTCTATGTCATAATACACACAGACGAAAAGGACATTAATGGTTAACTGAAAGAAGTGTTGAGATCGTTTCTTATTTTTATAAAACATATAGGTTTTGATGGAGTTGAGATCTCCGGTGCTCATGGTTACCTGATCGAGCAATTCATGAAAGACCAATTAAACGACCGGACTGACCAATACGGCGGCTCCTTACAAAACCGCTGCCGATTCGCTCTTGAAATCGTCGAGGCGATCGTGAACGAGATCGGACCGGACCGAGTCGGGATCCGACTATCCCCATTCGCACAGTTCATGGACGCTAGGGAATCGAATCCGGAAGCTTTAGGTCTTTACATGGCGGAATCTCTGAATAAATATGGGATTAACTATTGTCATATGGTGGAACCAAGGTGGAAAGCGGAAGGAAAAACCAGCGACAGTAAGTATAGTCTTGTCCCAATGAGAAAAGCGTTCAAGGGGACGTTTATTTCGGCCGGCGGGTATGAGATGAAAGACGGGAATACGGCGGTGGCGGAGAATCGGACGGATCTTGTTGCTTATGGTCGTTTGTTTTTGGCGAATCCGGATCTGCCGAAACGATTTGAGCTTAGGGCTCCGCTTAATAAGTATAATAGGGTGACGTTTTATACGTCGGATCCTGTTATTGGGTATACTGATTACCCGTTTCTTGAGACTAAGGCTTAAGCCCAATAGCCCATTCGAGTTTACTGATGGGAAAGGCACGAAAAATGCAAGATTCTGTAATAAATTTGCTAGATCATCGGTATAAACTAAGAACTTTATGGAGAGAAAAAAAAAAAAAAAATGAGAGATAGTATGTTGTTATTTTAGTACTTCAATCTTAATTATTATGATCGTTGGAAAATTGGTAAATTTGCTGTAGTAATTGCCATTTTTTATGGGGAGTTAAGTTTGATTAATTAAAGATGGTGGAATTTATTTTATTTTATTTAAATAATAGGACTTTGATGGAAAAGGGAATACTGCAAATAGAATGGGATAAATCGTTGTTAGGTTTTAGTAATTGGTCAATGGGAGAGAATGAGAGAATGAGTTTTAAAAATTTGTCAATAGAAAGATTTAATTACTATGGAAAAAATAAGTCAGAGAAAAAAAAAAATGTAGTTTGACTGCTCTCATGTTGAGATTTGATCACCAATTGACAATTGTGATGCAAAAGAGATTTATCTAACCAAATTTTCATATCGTAATTACACATTACATACATGTAACAAAGCCAATATCAATCTCAACTCAATAATGAACAACCATAACATTATATTCAACAACTGCATCACCCAACAAATTAAATTTATAAGTTTTCGCAGTCGCTATTCCCCGAGCCATCCTAAAAACACCGGAACCACCAACAATCGGCATCTCACGGTACTCATGCAACACTGGATTCCTTCCCAAAAGACTAAGAGAGCTGCCATTAAAATCCCCATCACTAAAAGCAAAGTTCATTGTCATAAGAAACCCAATATCTTCCATCGAAGCTGATGCATAGAACCCCTGGGCCCGACCCACAACAGTTGAGTTGGGTTCAGGTCCAGAGGTAAGCATGTCGTCAGCCATGACCACACTGCCAAACCCTGTGAGGGTGTTGACTAAGCCAGTGTAGCCAGTCGGCTTAGCCACCCTCATGGCGGTTGGGCTATTGCCACTAACTATATCATGGAAGTAGAAGTGAAGTTTGGTCACCTTTTCTTGCATGGTGTCTAGACCTTTGAACCAATCTTGTACGGCTATAGGGTCTTGATTGATGCAATGCACAAAAGAGAAAGACAAGAGTACAATTGAGCATAGTGGTATTTGGATGTGGAATTTCCCCATATTTGTGTTTATGTGTTTATGGGTGTATTTTTTTGGTTCTTAAAATGAGAAAGACGATGATAAAATGTGGGTTGGTTGGACTTGTGTAAAAAGGTAGATATGACATTGAAGTAGTTGGTCAACTGCAACACTAATAAGACTCGAAAAGTTGAATGTCCAATTCCAGCATACTAATAACTTTATAATCAATTTGACACAAAATATTACTAAATAAAATGTTCTTTTATTATTGATTAGGTATGTAGCGATTTATGATTAACGATTTAAACATTATTTAACAAATGAACTCTACATCTTTCTACATCTTTACTGCTAAAACAGACACGCACCTAAATATGTTAATAGCTTTTAGAAAGAGAAAAAAGAAAAGTCTAACTTAATGACTTATGCACCATAATTAAAGAAGTTAAATCAATTATCAAATAAAGATCATTATGGGACAAGAGAAGTAATTAGGTATTTAAGTTGCACTATAAAATAATCGATCCTGCGATCAGTCACGAATAAAATGTCCTTAGAAGTCTACCAAGCTTCATTACAAAACTAATATCCAAAATTCAAATTAATTTTGTCTTTTTGAACAGAAAATGTAATATTAACCACATAACTCCAGTGGGAAGCTGGAAAAAGACTACAACAAACAATACAAGAGAACAAACAAAGGGAAACAAAACCAACGACAAGGGTAAATGGTCAGAAAAACTAAAATAAAAAGAGCTCTACCACAAGCAAATCAAGAAAGCAGAAAGCACCAGAATATCTTAGAATCACTTACCTAAATGTCAAAAATTGTGACAACTTATCATTTATCAAATCTAAAACCTAGAATTGATTCATATCTAATGGTTCAAGTCCCAATCAAATCATTAAGCAACTTTATATTTGATGACAAGTATTCCGAAAGTCTATTTTATGTTTTATTTTACAGAGTTATTTTAATTTCTTCATAATTTTCTTAAGTCCAAAACTTGTCTCATGTAGTAAATATATATGGCTTTCTTAATTTCAACTATAAACAAAATATATATCGCCAAAAAGGTTTATATTATTAATAGTTCTCTACTTCTTTTCGTTGTTCAAAAAAATATCTACATAGTTACACAACTTTCATGAGATTACAATCCGATGCCCTCATCTTTCAAGGTATTGTCATTTTCAATCCATCCATAATCCCGAGTCAACTCACATCGTCGATTACTCCGACACCGAAAAAAACGCCCAGATCTCTAATCCGACACAAACTCCGGTTTATCGTTTTAGCTCGGACCCCAGCAGTTCATGTACATAACCTGTTGGAGAGAATCACCCGCCTGCTTCCTCGTCTCATCTCCGGCGAAGATTCCTCCTACGTCGGAAACTAAAACGCTGGAAAATGGACGAAGCTCGGTGTGATCAGCGCCGACGGAGGAACCAAACGCCTTCTTACCTTGTTGGAAGGATTTCATGCCTGACTTCAGTTTGTGGCCTTGATCCGTGTGGCCGTTAACGACGGCGACACCGGCGGTCATCCAGACTCGGTTCAAGTAACTCATCTTAAGATAATTCTTTTTTTTCTAAAACTTCCAATTTGATCTGACTATGTTTGTTGTTGTGCGATTAGGTGGGTGTTGTGGATAAGATTGATGAAGACTTGGGGGTTATTTTATAGGTGGAAATAGACCGGTAGTTTTTGTAAACCGGAAGCAGGAACCCGGTACGGGATAAAGGCGGTTGGAGAAATAACGGGGATCGTAGAACTCGAGACTTTTGGACGTATATGCTGCAAAATTTCATCTCGTGATTAATCGTGATATTTGTGTTATTTTGAGAAAAAATAACTTTTATTAAATAGAAAAAAATTACTAAATTTGCCCTACAATTTACCAACATTTCATGTTTGATACATATCTTTTGTTTTTCACTTAGACCAACCCTAACATTTAAGTCCTATCCCTACCTAATAGGAAATGATCATAATGCTCTTAGTAAGTGGGGACCCACACCTACCACCAGTCACCGGCCACCATCAACTATTGACTATTACCACGAGACACTAACAACCCCCAACAACCACTTCCAGACTTGATAACCACCACTAAACACCAACAACCACCACTAGACATTACCTTTCCCACCCTATCCGCATATATTCTGATCTGAAACATCTTTTTTACCCTGATCTAAAATTAATGTTGGTGAGAACTTAACCATCACCCCTGAGGATGAGATCTAGGTTACCAGGGATGATGATGTCGGTTTCTACGATAACGGCTTCGACGAGACCTGTAACTCATAATCAAGTCTCAACTTAAATCTTGGTTTTATTGGGGATTTAGCATGGATTAATGTCGAAATATACATAAAATAAATAATTTCCTGGAATTAAAGTTGAAAATCAACAAATTTGACATCCAGATTAGACAACAACAAACATAGGCACACAAATTGACTGAGATGTCTGTCATGGAATTGAAATTGAAAACAACCTTCCTGGAACTTTTCTTTGAATCACCAAGCCTGCTTTATGCACTCCAAATCGAATAAATCCTATGAATTTCTAGATGAAACCCGATCTAGAAACCCGATGTAAGAAATCATATGCTTTCTTTCAAAGCTCACTATCACCATGACCATCGACTACCAACATAGATGCAACCCAAATGCACAAAGCGGACACTACCCAAATCAAATGAAACCATATGCAAAAAAAAAAAAAAAAAAAAAAAAACCTCTTTAGGGGTTAACTTCTAAGATTTTTGCAATTCCATTTAAACTTATGGCTGAGGTGCATGTACATTTATGTTACAAATGGGCAAGTCTGAGTCGGGGTTCCATCAACAATGACACAGGTGGGTGGTAGAGAGGGAAACATAAGGAGATGCAAGTCAATGGTAAATAAGGATCATGGAGGAGATGCAGTCGTCAGTCAAAAGGGAGTATGAGTGAAATATCGTCGACATCGTGGCTTCGAACGAGAGGGATAAAACGGGAATGAGATATGAACGTGATGGAGTGGTTTGGGCCTTAGGTAATGTATTTCTTTATTGAATATTTTTAATAAGATAATAATAGAAAAATATAATAAGGGGTATAAATGTCATTTCAAGGCTGATAAGGACCAAACGTGAAACAAAATAAAAAGTTAGAGACGGTCCGAATGCAAAACAAAATATAGGGACCAAACATGAAATTTTGGTAAACCATAGGGATGATTTCAGTAATTTGTTCTAAAAAAGTATTATGTAGTTGTAGCGGATAAACAGGAAACAAAGTGCATTGTAATTTTTTTGGATAGTGAAAATAATTCTTTTTAAAAACCACATTCGTAGATTTATGGGTGATAACATTACTATGCATGACACATCCAATTGTTTTTTCAAATTTTAATATTTATTTTAATATTTAAGTTATCTAAGAATAGAGTGGGTCCACTCACAACCTATATACCACATGTGTCTCTCCTCTTGTTCTATACTTCTCCTTCTTATATTCTCTCTCCAACGAGACCAAAGTAGCCGATATCATGTGATTATCTTGTAGGAAGGCAAAGATGGGCTTGACCTGATGGTTTCACCACAACTCAGTAAAGAGATTTGCCAAAAAGGGCATTGTTTCCAATGAAACTACTAGCCCCTAGTCTCACACTTTTCGAGATGATGACAGTATAATCGTTGAAGCTATAGACCCTCCATACACCTATAATTCCTTGAAATTGCTAGAATGTATATTGAAGAACAAAATGCTTGGGTTTTATCTGGAGCTCTATTTAGAAACCCTAGAGATTTAGGATTAGGGATTGGAGATGTGAATCTTACAATCATGGCTTGTGATGGGTTTAGTGTGTCAATGGCTTTTACCTGGAGCACCATTTATGATTTATCATTCATTTTCGTCTATATTTTCTTGGGTTTTAAGCAAATTGTATCTGTAAGGTTGAATTTGGTGGAGTCAATAAGTATGCATGTGGTGGAGAAGTTGGTACCGGTATTAGTGATAAATGAGTTGATATTAGTGATGGAATGAAGAATAAAGAGATACGAGATGTGGTACGAGGGTAGGGTAGGTATAGTGACCT